ATCCTGGGGTTGGCTTAGAACCCCTGAGATTTGTTAAGGGCTGTCGCTTCGGCTCCCTCCTTTTCTCCCTCTGCAGCTGACCCCTGGGTGACCCGTTGTGGGCGCAGTACCACCTCTATGCTAACAACTCTCTGGTATCCTTCTCCCCTGCACAGCTGTCTCCTGTAGTTCCTCTGGCATCTCAGCTGGTCATGTCTCCGCTCATCTCAAGCTCACCATCTCCAAAGCTGAGCTCAGAGATCTTCCCTCCCAACCCCTCTTGTCTGTGTCCTTTCTCTAATCCTCCCTGGCAGCCAGACTCATACGCAGAGGGTGTCTTCACTCCTCCCTCTCCACCCTCAGAAAATCCTCTCGTTTTTTCCTTCATAGTGTTTAAAAACGTTGACCCCTCCTATTCTGTCCCAGTGGCTGCATCAGTTGCTTCGCCCTAATCATCGACCACGAATACTGCAACCTCCAACGTAGTCCTCTCCAGCCTTTTACAAGCCCAGCTTGATCCCAACCTGTCCACACCAGAGCTTGCCCAGCTCTGCCCTGCTCTCACCCTGGCATTACCCCCCAAAACATCCCCCCAGACTTTCCACTCAGCTGGCAATGAGGGCCTGAAAAGCCCTTTGTTTCCATGCCACTCTTGCCTGATGCCCCTTTCCGCTCTCATAGCCATTAACTCCCTCCCCTGTCTCTGGTTGGTCCTACTTAGAAAAGGGAGCCCCTGACAGCCTTCTCTTTGCGGGGGGGCTCGGCAAGATCTTTGAAAGGACCTGAGCCCTGAAGTCACTTGAGTCTGTAAGGGGAGGTGAATTTCTCCCTCTCCCCATTGAAGACCGTGGGGATGTTAACTCCTAGATGGAGTAAACTGCCCCTTCCTCATGCTGCAGAAGAATAATGAGGAGGGAGCACTTGTGAGGGCGTGAATTTCCTTGTGATGAGCAGTTGTCTGTGTGAGGTGTTATCAGCACAGACCAAACTCTGCAGCAGGGGCCGTTCTGCCTAGGCCACACGGAGCCCAGGCTGGGAGAGGGAGGTTTTTGTCTCACCTCCCCATCTGACTGTGTCACTGTGACAAGCACTGTTGTGCCACACAGCACAGTAATAATAGGCTTATCCTCCACAAGGGTGCCGGAGATGGTCAGATAGCCGGCGTTGCTGGACAGCTCCGGCTATCTGACCATCTCCGGCACCCTTGTGGAGGATGCAGAGAAGCGAGAGAAGCGAGCAGGGACCCCAGAGCCCTGGTGCTTGTCGGAATCTGACTTGTATCTCAGCAGGGATCGTGGAGAATTCCCAGGTTGCTGCTGGTCCCAGGACACAGCGTAGCCACTGATGCTGGTCCCACTGCTCATGGTGCAGGAGAGTTTCACGGTGTTTCCTGGGGACACTGACACTGAGGGCGGCTGCGTCACCACAGACTGCGAGCTGGAACCTGGAAAAATACTGTAGAGACCAGTCAATCCCTCCCTGTCCGTCCCCAGTCACTAGTGACACAGTGTGTGCACTGGCTTCAGCAGTAACGTCACTGTGTATTTAACCCACTCCCCCTGTTCTCACCTGTGCACCCCGTCCCCAGCAGAAGGAGGAGGGGAGCCCAGAGCATGGTGAGGAGATTTCAGGCCCGCGGGAGAAAACCAGCCAAATCCACTGAGAATCCCCCACAGTATCCGCCCCTTATATTGATCCTCCTGCGGGAGTAGCCTCCATGCTCTGCCTTTATGCTAATTGGCTGTCGTCTGATTGGTCCCTATGATCGCAGAGAGATAGCCATATGGGAGAGGAGACCAATTCTTTGGGGAGAAGCTCCTGCTGTATAATTCACTGGTTTAGTTGCACTTCCACAGGGCTGACTCTGCAAGGGTGAATCTGAGCGCTCACAGGGGCGGCTGTTGGAGGTTAGACTGTGGGATGGTTTCCATTCTAAACATTTGTTTTCAGCAGTTTGTAACTTTCCCAACCCTTCCTCTTTTGACCTGGCAGTTCCCAGGTTTGCATGAAGGCTCACACTTGGTTCACAGGTTGAGCAAACACAACTCATGAGTGTCTGGGAATGAGGAGAGTGAAATGGAGACACTCTGCCCATGATTGAAAAATCAAAAGCAAAACTAGGGAATGGAAAGGGGAGACTGTAGGGCGCAGGGAGTCAGCAGATGATACGGGAGGGTGAGGTTTCTGTGACTGGGGATGCATGTGCTTAGTAGCTGTTCTTTGCCAGCAGCCACAATTTCTCTGCTCTCCAGGTCATACGGCAGGGATGCAGGTGTTTTGGCTTCTTTATTGGGGATCTTTATGGGGTGATAATACACATGGGAGACTTGGGACTAATGAGAAAACTTCTCCTCTGTCTGGGGGCAGTGGAAGGGCATGGGGATTCTGTGGGATGGGAATCTACCTGCCACATTGCCCACCAACTCAAACCTGAGAACCATCAACACCAGGCCCGATACAGGACAGCCCTGAAGTACCTGCTGATCGGTAAATACGTGCTAATTGCTGTCCCGAAGAGGGATACTTTCCTGAATCAGGACCTGAAATGTCAAATATTGGTTACTAAAGAGTTGCTTGTTTCCATATTGGCTTGAGGAGGGTGGAGCTAGACTCTATCCCATAATGCTCAGAGTCCCCACCTCTCAGGAGGGTTTCAGTGGGTTCGGTGCAGTCCCATAAGCCACATGAAGAAGCCAGTTTGGGACTGGATAAAGGAGTTTGCTGATGTTCCTCTGAGCAGAGCTGATCTCACCCGCAGGGTGCTGTTGCAGACAGGCTGGTGTAGGGAGGGGAACTCTCAGATCCCTCCCTCAGTGTCCAGACTGCAGCAGGGGGAGGAGGGAATCAGAGCAGGACATTACAGACTCCCGGCAAATATTTACCCCCAGTTTACTTCTGTGATGTTCATGGTTTCAAAGATTAAATCTGACTCTGCTCTCGCCTGGAGGCTGGAGCTCGCCCCGGGGGCTCCTTGTGGGGGGCTGCTCCCCTCCTGGCAGCAGGCAGGAGAACTCTCCAGCATTACAGTGCACTTTTCAGGATGGTCCACATTTCAGCTGGATCCTGTTCCCTCGCTGTGCCAAGCCAGGCATGTTCTGCAGTCCCCGGCGTGTCTCCTGCACAGAGCATCCGTTCGCCACAAGACAGGACACAGCTCCATGAGCTCACGAGCTCTATCGTCCCCTCCACTTGCCACTCTTCAGAGCTCTGTGCACATCACAGCCCTTATCACTGACCATCGCTAATGTGACAGACCCCAGCCTCAGCCACACCGCCATTCAGAGGGCAGGTGTGAGATCTATGCATTGACGAGTCTGTCTCTAACCACCAGACCACACTGCCATCCAGGGCCAGAGTAAAATCCTGATCTCCAGCACTCTACCAAATAGCTGGGTAACCTACTGGCAAACTCTGTGCTGCTTCCCCTTCTAGCCTGGATAAAGCATAACAGTTACTCGTACAGCTCAAGGGAGAAAGGTCAGTGCTGGAAATCTGAAAATCCAGGCTTCAAACCCTGCATATTACCCAGGCGGGGAGTCCTTATAGTACAGGAGATGGTATTTGGTTTTCCAGATTTCTTTTAAAGAACTGATTATTCAAGTCACACAATAAGGAAACATCTCTAAGCCAATATCGTTTTAGATGGTCTGATAATGGTTATTTGTATTATAATGAACATTTATTGTAATCTGTCAATTATAGTGTGATGTCCCACAACACACAACAGTTCCTCGTTCTGGCTTTTTGTCACACGTATGGATTGTTTGCATCCCGCATTGGCTGTTATGGCTGGTGTGATCGGCAGTGGCCACACTGAGGCTTCTGGAGGCATAAGCAGGGGACTATTAGGTAGGAGTGGGAAGGTGGTTTTACCCCTGTCTATGGCATTGGTGAGACCATTCCTGGAATACTTTGTCCAGTGCTGATGTCCCTACTTCAAACAAGAGGTTGAAAAAGTTGGAAAGGGTTCAGAAAAGAACTACAAGAATGATTTGAGGTCTGGAAACAGGCCTCACTGTGAGAGACTTAATAAGCGCAATCTATTTAGTTTACTCAAGAGCAGGTGAAGAGGTGACGAGGCCCACAAGTGCCTACATGGGGAAGAGTTTTCTCACAGTAGACAGCTCGCTAATCTAGCACAAAAAGGCAGAGCAAGGTCCAGTGGGTGGGAGATGAAGCTAGACAAAGTCAGACTAGAACTAAGGTGCAAATTGTATCTGTGTAGGAGAAGGGAGATGGTGAGAGCAAGCTGCCCAGGCAGTGAGCAGAGAAGTGACCGAGAATATTCCCACCCTACTGCCAGCATGGAGGTCAGCCCAACACTTTAAGGAGATTCATTAAAAAGACAAGTGGTTGATTAGGGGGGATAGAAATAACTGGGACTCGCGGTACTAGAACCTGAGACACCGCCTCTTTGCTAAAGCACTGTTTGTTACTCAACCATCTAACGCCTCTGGATCTGACCTGCCCCTTGTGTACTGTCAGGATGTGGGAGGACTAGGACAGTCCTCCCACCAGCAGGGCTCAGAGCTCCTGGGTTGGGAGTGGGGCCAATTCCTCTGTCCTGCCTCTCGGAGAAAGGTTTCTCCCGTGGAACAGACTGTATAACTTCTCTGTCGGGCCCTGATGGGAGTGGGGGGTGATCTGTGCTTGGAGGTGCATGTTTGGGAAACAGGCCCCAGCCATGTCCTTTTGCCGGGGGAGAGCTGACGTCACCAGGGGAGATATCTGGGCAGGCAATTGGTGGGGCAATAAGACAGAGCCAGGCAGCAGGGGGGGCACCAGGTGTTCCGGTCAGTGTTTAAACAGCCCAGAGGTGAGGGCGCACTGCTTACAAATACCTCCTCCTCCCAGCCCCTCCTTTCTAAATACTGTCTGGATAAAAGCCCTGCAGTGTAGGGAGCTCTGCACGGGGTCAGCGAGGAGGTGACTTGTACTCCACACCTGGCAGGAAAGGGTTCTGGGTTGACTGGAAACAATCTCCTTTCATGCACCTTCCCCACCTCTGGCAGGCGCGCACATTACAGAAAATAACGTGACCTGTTCCCTTTGAAAGGGGAGGTTTGTGTCTCACTTCCCCGTCTGGCTGTGTCACCGTGAGGCTGAGAACTGCTGCTGTCGTACATCTGACAGTAATAATCAGCCTCGTCCTGCGTCTGGACTCCAATGATGGTTAACGTGGCCGTGTTACCGGAGTTGGAGCCAGAGAATCGCTCCGGGATTCCGGAGGGTCTCTCACTATCTGCATATATAACGAGTAGGGGGGCGCTGCCAGGTTTCTGTTGGTACCACTGCACACTATAGTCTTCAATGTTGCTTCCCGAACAGGTCAGTTCAGCGTTTTGCCCTAGAGACACAGAGACTGAAGGCGACTGAGTCACCACGTACTGGGCGAGAGAACCTGAGACAGGAGGAGAAAACATTGTGTAAAAATAACTTAGCAACAGTGACTTTATCCCCAGTTAACATGCTCTGCAGGCAGCCAGGGGGAAAACTCTCCCCTCTGTAGTACCTGAGCAGAACGTGAGCAGCGCGAGGAGCAGAGGGGCCCAGGCCATGGTGGATCCAGACGAGTTCGGCTTCCTGAGGCAAACGGGTCTGTGGCGGGGATCCTCCCACTCTCTCTTAAACCCCCAGAGCTGGAGAACGGACCCTTCATGCAAATCTGCTCCCTGCTCATTGGCTGCTCAAGCATCTTCATTCACCTACATGAGAGGGGCAGACACAGGGGCCAGTCTCTAGACCCAATTCTTCTCTGTTTTTCACCAGTGTAAATCCAGGGTAACTCCGCTGAAGTTCATGCAACCAAACTGTTGTACAAATGGTGTAAGTGAGAGGCGAATCAGGGCCTGTCTGCGTAAATTCAAACATTTAATGAAGTATAAATATCATCCAGAGCCAAAGGCGTCCTGCTGAGTCACTGAAGCACACAGAGCCCATTGTTCATAGCCATAAAAGGATCCTTAACACATTAGGGTTAGAGATATCCTATCCACACGGGCACTGCATTGGAGGGTACTTTTATATACCTGGGGACCACCCACTGCACCTTATAAAGCCTTCTGCCAGTGTTAGCGAAGGAAGCTCCTGGTCTAATTGTACAGGAGGATAATAATCCATAGTCTGTTGTTGGATAGTTACACACAGGGCAGTTCTGGAGGCAAAGGGCTGAGTCTGATAGCGAGAGACCTGCACTTGGAGAGGGGATCTATGCCACTGGATTGTAGGCTAGAAGAGGAAAGGGAGGACTTTAGTTCCGGGGGAGTTCTGGTGGATTTCACGCTGGGCTGGTTTTTGCTCAGCGCCCAAGTCCAGACCCACGCTTAGCCGTTCTCAGCAGATGTAGGGTGACCCTACGTCCCGTTTTGGCTGGGACAGTCCCTTTTCTAAGTCCTATTCTGGCTGTCCCAACTTGATCAGTTGGCAGAGCAAACAGGGCAAATGCCCACTTTTGTCAAAAAAGTCGGGTGTGGAGGAATGTACGGGGGGCGAGTAGCAATGGCAGCTCCACACAGGGCGGGAAGGCAGGACTCGTGCAGGGGGCAGGCAGGGCTTGAGCGAGCAACAATGCCAGCCCCAGCCTCGTGCAGAGTGTGGGGGCCAGGAAGGGCTCAGGCGAGCAGCGAAGCCTGCTCCAGCTTTGTGCGGGGGCGGGCAGGCAGGGCTTGGGCTCAGACCAGCCCTGTGTGGGTGGGGTGTGGGAGAGGAAGGTCTCAGGCTAGACCCACATGGTGTCCCATTTTCCCTTTGGGAAATATGGTCACCCTAAACAGATGGGAAAATGTATCAGGAACTACCTAGAAAGCATCATCCCAAGAGATCAATGAAGGGAGGTACTTCTCTGTAGAGTTTATTGGAGTCTGTATATTTCATATGGGCTCCTGATATGATCCTTGTCTGCCTGCACTGACCTTCCTCCTATTCACAACCCTCTCTGGTTGTCCCTGGTCACGCATAATGAAACTAGGGAATGAGAAGGTACCGGGGAAAGGGACATACTGCAGACAGGAGGTGGGGGTGCTGGAACTGCAAAGCAGACTATTTGAGAGGAAGCAGTAGCTGTAGGTTAGACGAGTGCTCTGGGAGTCAGGCAATTCCCAGCCCTGCCACAGACATGCTGTATGACCATGTGGCCAAAGTTTAACCCTTTCTGAGCCCAAATTTCCTCATCAACAAAACAAGGCTCCTATATTATCTTGGAGGTTTATACCACCAGCCATAACCACAGCATCTGAGCCCCTGCCATGTAATACTAATAGCAACGATGAAGACCTTCACGGAGTCTTTGACCCTACTCAGGGTAGAAACTCTGCTGGGGGCAGGGTTTGTAGGTGAGATTTTTTAGATTTCATTCATTTACTTTTCATTGTTTGTCAGGTTTTTGTTCCTGGTTGATTAGTTTTGGGGGGTTCCTTTTTACCTTTTGGTTTTTGTTCGGCTGGGATTTGTGGGTAGAAGGGGGTGTCATGGTTATGAATGTCATTCTTATTGTAGAAAGGCCTTGCTCATACTCTGCATGGGTACTGTGAACTGTAAGTCAGTAACCTCTGTAGAGAGCCCGCGGTTCTTGAAAGGAAGTGCTACAAAATACAGCTCATTAGTATTTAGTAATAGTACATTCCTTAGGGGGATTTCCAGTAGTTATAAATGTGAGATTTCTTACTATAGATGAAATGCCCCTGTAATCTAGACACACTTCTGTACCTCAGCAGCTTGTAGCAGAAAGGGTCGTTAGAACGAGCTCTGGATATTCTCTTATCTTTGACATGTTATAGATCACGCGCTCCTCCTAGTGGTTACATTTCTACCGTCATTTCTATTATGAATATTATTACTTAACAGGCAGCCTTGCTCCCTGCAGGGCGTGTGGGGAGGCAGATGGGGGACACAGACCGAGAAGAGCTGTTCCCTTGCAGGCCGGGGAGAAACTGAAACACAAACACAAGAGACTCTCACCTGCTCTGGGGCTGCTTTACAAACTCAGAGCCGGGTCATCGAAACATCTGTGAAACCTCAGAACAAACCTGGGCCGGTTAACGGGTTGACAGTGAAATCACTGCCGACCCCTGGTGTCCAGACAAAACCAGGTGGAACCCAGTGGCCGGGACTCAGATTCACTTTGAGAGTTTGGGAGTTCACTTGACACTGAACCAGCAAGGAAAAGGTGGAAGGGCCTGACGCCACCAGCACCAGACCCAACAAACTCCTGACTCCCTGCACAAGGACACAGTGAGCATCACGCAGTCAAGTCTCTCAGTGTCACAGCCAGAGCCCACCCTCTGCAGCCAGCGCAGCTGCCAGCTCGGACCCGGGCCGGGGAGGATGCGATTTGCTCAGGGGTTGCTTCTGTCTCACTTCCCCATGTGGGTGTGTCACGGTGAGACACTCCCCCGCTGCCATACCACACAGCACAGTAACAATCAGCCTCGTCCTCTGCCTGGACATTGATGATGGTCAAATACCAAACGTTGCTGGAGCTCTCCTTGGACCCTGAGAATCGCTCGGGGACCCCAGAGCCCCTGCTCATGCCGCTATAGTAAGAGAGCAGGTGTCGCGGAGGGCTGCCAGGCGTCTGTTGTAGCCAGGTCTGGTCATAGCTCTGCACAGTGACCCCACTGCTCATGGAACAGGAGATTTTCACTGTCTGTCCAGGGGACGCGGTCATGGAGGGCGACTGAGTCAGGACAGGCTGGGTGCTGGAGGCCGGGGATACAACGGCCTTATATCAACCCTCCAGGGTGAGGGAGCTTCCAAGCTCCACCCTTTATGCTAGTCCACTCTCTTCGGCTGGTCTGTGTCACCACCGGGAGATGGCGATGGGGGTGGGGACTGACCTTCCATGAGAAGCTCCTGGCTTATAACAGCGCTTTCCGTTGTGCTCCGGTAGTAGCCACAGCTGGCTCAAGCGTGTGCTGGAAGCAGCATAGACATTTCCACAAGGAGATCTAAAACCCCGGAGCCCTGCTCAGAGTTAAACCTACAGCACTGACGGTGCGACAGGTGGGGGTGGAAACCGGGTATATTCTGGTTCAATGATCTGCATGCCCAAAGAGTGTCGCAGAACTGAGCCCAGCTGATGAAGACGGAAAAGACAAGTTGAGGCTTCCCCACAGGAGATGGGCTTATGACAATATCTAGATCAGAGTCACCCCACAAGGGGTATTTCCCCCCCAGAGATTAAAAAAAAGACAAGAAGTTGTTCTCCAGGGGTCCAAGACAGTCACACTGGTGCCACCAAGGAGGCCGAAAGAGCTGGAGACACGTCATATAGAAGGGATATAATGTAGGAACAGAAATAATCCACCCACAAACTGCTTTGGAACCAAAGACACCCCACTCCCCCCGCAACTGCCGTCATGGAGCTTTGAGACTTGCCCTGCCCAGAAACTTGAGGCGGGGGAGCTATTAATTGCATTTTATTGTTTTCCCTCTTCACAAATTAGCCAGAAACCTATTTGGACTGTTATAAAATTGGTTGTTATTTAGAATTGTTTAACAGACACTTCCCGTGAGTTTGTTTCAGTCCACTAGACGGTCATACACTATTCACTTTGATTCATTATTCATGATATCTGACTGGTCCCCTCAGTCACATGGTCTTATTTCTGCTTTTCCACTGAATGGCTGAAACATTTATCGCCAGGTGGAAACATCAAAGAAAGTCCAGAATGGCTGAGTGAACGCTTCTGACATGAGCCACTGAGCTAAGACATTCACATGTGCTTTTGTGACCCTTTTTCTTTCCCCCTAAAAGAATGTTCCTGAACAAGGTATGAAAAGATGTGAGCGTCCCAGGCACCAGTGCGCCCAGGTGGGGGTTCAGTCAAGTGGAGATTTATGAATATTGAACTGGAATATCTGTGCAGCGCTACTCGAGACAGCTGTTCTGTGGAGCATGTTTTCACTACACTGCATCAGCAAGGCTTTAGAAGGCGTTAAGAGTCTGACCTAAAGCCTGATGGAGTCAATGGGGGGGTCTTTCAGTTGACTTCTGTGGGCTCTGGATCAGGGCCTAAGAGTGATCTAAAGTGCCATTGTCCCCTGGACTTAGAGAGAGCACAAGTGATGAAGCCGCAATCTGGATCAAAGTCTGCACTCAACTCCATGTGGGTGGGGCGGGTAGGGAGATGGGGCACTGTCCTGCTCTGGCCTGGTCTGGCCCTGTGATGCTCCCCACACACAAAGATACTTTTCAGGCTGAAATGTCTTTTATTGAGGTGAGGTTAAATCATAAAGTAAGTGGGAGAAACATGAAGAGTCTCTGTGGAGAGTCCAGAGTGGGGGTCTTGCACTGCGACAGACACCATTGTGAACTGCCCCACCACTGACCAGCATCAACTCCTGGCTGTTAAAGAGGCAAAGCGCAGAACAGCAAATGGAGAAGGTTCCCCTGCTGGGACAGCCTCTACTGATGGCTATGGGAACCCATGAAGGAAATGAGGGTTTCTCTGGTTTGGGACACTGGGATTTGGGAAGAGCCTGTCCTATTCCATGGCCATACCATGGCAGGTGGGAGATTAGAGAAAGAACACGAACTAAGCAGCAGGCAGGGCACAAT